GGAACACCAATTATTCTTATGTTTGGTCATTTAACACAGTCCGAGCCTTTTTGGAGTCTTTGTTCATATTTTCTTATTCTTTGTTCTTTGTCTGTGTTGGATTGCATTAATTTGAAGACCTTGTCTTCAATCTCTGAATTTCATTCTTCTACTTGTTCAAGTCTATTACTGAGACTTTCCAGAGCATTTCACATTTCTTTAAATGTGTACAAAGTTTTCTGAATTTTTGTGGGGATTTTTTTTTGGATATTTCTCCTTTCACTTCTTTTTTTTTTTTTTTTTTTTTTTTGAGACAGAGTTTCACTCTTGTTACTCAGGCTGGAGTGCAATGGCGTGATCTCAGCTCACCGCAACCTCCGCCTCCTGGGTTCAGGCAATTCTCCTTCCTCAGCCTCCTGAGTAGCTGGGATTACAGGCACGCGCCACCATGCCCACATAATTTTTTGTATTTTTAGTAGAGACAGGGTTTCACCGTGTTGACCAGGATGGTCTCGATCTCTCGACCTTGTGATCCACCCGCCTCGGCCTCCCAAAGTGCTGGGATTACAGGCTTGAGCCACCACGCCCAGCCTCTCTCCTTTCACTTCTTATATTATTTTTTTGGATTTCCTTGCATTGGGTTTCACCTTTCTCTGATGCCTCCCTGATTAGCTTAATAACTAACCTCCTGAATTTTTTTTCAGGTAAATCAGGGATTTTTTTGTTTGTTTGTTCGAGTCTATTGCTAGTGGATTAATGTGATTTGGGGGTGAATGTTAAAGAGCCTTGTTTTGTCATATTACCAGGGTTGGTTTCCTGGCTGCTTCTCATTTGGGTAGCCACTGTCAGAGGGAAGGTCTAGGGTTGAATGCTGTTGTTCAGATTCTTTTCCCACAGGGTGCTCCCTTGATGTAGTACTCTTCCCCTTTTCCTATGGATATGGCTTCCTGTGAGCTGAACTGCTGTGATTGTTGTCTCTTTTCTGGGTCTAGGCACCCAGTGAGTCTACCTAGCTCTTGGCTGGTACTGGGGTTTGTCTGCACAGAGTCCTGTGATGTGAACCATCTACAGGTCTCTCAGCCATGGATACCAGTGCCTGTTCCAGTGGGATGGTGGGGGGTGGAGTGCAAAGGACTTTAGCTTTGGTGGTTTAATGCTCCATTTTGTGCTGGTTGGCCTCCTGCCAAGAGGTGGCACTTTGCAGATAGCATCAGCTGTGGTAGTATGGAGAGGAACAGGTGGTGGGTAGGGCTTTATAACTCTCAAGATTATATACTCTTTGTCTTCATCTACCAGGTAGATAGAGAAGGACCATCAGGTGTGGGCAGGGCTAGGTGTGGTTGAGCTCAGACTTTTCTTGGGCGGGTCTTGCTGGGGCTGCTGTAGGGAATGGGGATGGGATTCCCAGGTCACTGGAGCTACATACCTAGGAGGATTGTATCTGCCTCTGCTGAGTCATGAAGGTTGTCAGGTAAGTGGGAGAAAGCCAGAAGTCACAGTCCTCACCCACCTCCCAAGCAAACCAAAGGGCCAGTCTCACTCCCACCATGCCCCACATGACAGCCCCAAGTCTATTTCCAGGTAGTGGGCAAGATGGATTTGAAACTTGCCCCAGGCTACCTGCCTCTCAGCTGAAAAAGAAAGGGCTTGGTTCTTCCCCTACTTGTGGAATCTGCACACTAGCTTTGTGCCCTCCCCCAATTTCTAGCCAGGAGGCTTCCTGCCCCATTCAAATTGTTACAAAGTTCAGCTAGAGATTTTCTTCTCCATGTGGAGTTTTACCCCCTGCTTCTCTTGCCACCTTCTCTATCGATCCCCATGGTACCACACCAGAGTGGGCTTCTTGGGGACCCAGCGAGCTCCTAGGGCCTTTCTGCTGCTTCTACTTCTGTATTTTGCTCAGCTCTCTAAACTGACTCTGCTTCAGGTGAGATCAGAAACTTCTCCCACAAACACACCTTCAGTTTCTCCAGTGGGGGTATGTGTTCAGCAGAGGAGGGTCTCTTTCCCACTTCCACAGTTGGGGCACTCACAGTATTTGGGGTGTCTCCCAGGTCCTACAGGAGCAGTCCACTTCCTTGAGAGTGTCTGTGGGTCCTCCCAGGATTGTTGATTTGGTCTTACAGTCAATCCAGAGCTTAAATTAACAATGCAAGCCTCCACATGCTGCTCTGTCCAGAGCTGCAATCTAGTCCTGCCTCCTATCTGCCATGATGATCCAGGCCACAACTTCTTAATTAATTAATTCTTATTGCCAGTTTATAGTCTATCAGTTTAGGCAAAAGTATCAGTTGGATGTACTACTTTGCACACATAGTTAAAATATCTTAGCTCTTCAAGCATTCACTATAAAACATCATTGTACTCTTCTAAAGTGACAATATTCATCATATCCTCCCCACAGCCTCCTGAACTAGACTCTTGGGAGTTCACACCGCATGTTCACTCCTGATACATATCTCTGCTGGAATTGATCATGGAATCAAATAATATGGAAAGCCACCTCCTCAGTCTTACATCTAACTTTATTTACCTACAGTAGTGGTTCTCAACATGGGCTATGCTTTGCAAGCACCTGGGGAACTTTTAAAAAAATCACAGTACCCAGCCTGCATCCCAGGTTGATTCAAATCTCTGGGAGCAGACCAAGGCATCCGTACTTTTTAAGCTCCTCCCTTGATTCCAGTGTGCAGTTACAGTTGGGAATTTTTGCCTTTGGGACATGCCGGGCTACTAATTTCTGAGTGTTGATTAAGGGAACATGTGAGCTCATCATTTCTCTTGTGGGAATTTTTTGAGAAGAAAGAGAGATTGGGGAACAAAATAGCTACTATTTTTTGCTAGTGCGAAGAGCTTAGCTTGAAATCACACGGACCTGTGTTTTAATCCCATCTTTGCTACCTTTGTAAAGGTGGGAAACTCACTTGTCTCCCTTCTAGTTTCACCTATATCTACATTGAAATAAGACCCACCTTCTAAAGTGGTCAGTATTAAATGAGATCATATGTGCAAAGTGTTCAACATGATGTAGTACATAACATGATAGGACATAGTAATAATAACTAAAGATACCACTACAAATCAAAATCCTTATTTTCAAAATTAAGTCTCCAAAGAAGAAATGAATATGAATCCCAAATCTGTTGCCTAGATTTTTGAGTGCCAAGCAGCATTAATGCTAATATTTCATCAGCATTATCACTAACAGAAATGAGTATTCCAACTTAACTCATTGCCCTTAGTAATAATTCTTTTAGGGACAAAGATAGGCTCCCTTAATTGCAAAATTTCTTTCAGAGGTGCTATAAATGGATGTTGAATTACACTGTCTTTAGGTTTAACCTTTAAAAATCATAAGAAAGCAAGAAATATTACTAGTTCAGAAATGATTTTCTGTTCCTGACTTATCAGAGAAGACCTGAGAGTCTATGGTAGTCATTTTTTGTCTTCGTAGTGAAACAAAAATGTAAGATTCTAATAGGATTTTTAGACATAGTGAAAAAGGTGCTCATTTTAAGATTATGGCAGTTCCTCTCAGAAAGCCTTAAGATGACACTAAGGAGTTGGACTTTAGGAATGCTTCAGCCACAGTGGCACAATGGTGCTAGATGAGACAAGAGGTAATTAAGGAGGAACTAAGCGGCCAGCCACAATAGATAGTTCTTTTTGTCTCCAAAAAAAGGTGTTACCCACTTTCTCACACTCACTGTGATATATTCCATTTACTAAGAAAAGTGGCTTATGTCATTCTTGGGCACTGCTTTCAAGTTCTGATATATCAGATTCATTGACTCTATGTTAATAGCATTCAAATATTTAGTAAAGTTAATTACTTCTAACATTTTTCCAAGTTAAGCCACCAGCTCTGTCCCGTGCTTCAGTCTCTCCCATAAGACTGCAATCAAAGTGTCAGCTAGAGCTGTGGTCTCATCTGAAGGCTGGATAGGGAAGGATTGGCTCCCATGCTCATTTACATGGCTGTTGGCAAGATTCAGTTCCTCAAGGGTTTGTATACTAAGGGCCTCTGCTTCTTGCTGGGTGTTGGCCAGAGGCCACCCTTAGTTCTGTGCTGTATGATTCTCACCACACAGCAGCTTATTTCATCAAAGTCAGCAAGAGGGTCAGTCTGCTAGTTAGAAAGAAGTCTCAGTCTTTTATAACCTAATCATAGAACTGACATCTCTCCATGCTGCCATATTCTTTTGATTGAAAGCAAGTAATTCAAAGGAAGGATATACATAAGGCTGTGAATGAGGGAAGACAGGGATCAAAAATCATGAAAAGAAAAATGGCCCTGTAGTGAATGCTATGGTTCCTACACTGCATCTCCCATGTTTACCTGATGTCAGCACAATCATCTATGGTGTCCATTTGCCACTATGCATCTTGCCACTGTGTACCTGAGTGTTCAGGTGCCTGCCTCAGCAAAGACCCTCAGCTCGTGTGCAGGTACAGCCTAGAATTGCATGGGGGTGAACATCGCTGAGGCACACTTCAACCAGTGGGTATTGGGAGTGGCAGGTAAATGTCCTAACCTCTCATCTTTCTGCACAACAATGGTGGTGTATATTCTACACAGCTTCTCAGAGGAGCCTCAGTGGGATCGGACCCCATTAGCCACTGTGATAACTAGCTCAGTAACACACACAAATTAGTTGTTCTCCCTTTCCTTCCCACTCTCCCCATTCCCTCATCCCTAGTTCCAGAAATCTTCCAGATGAACTACCTGTATCCACATCCTTATTGCTAGCTCTGGTTTCTTAAACAGGCCCTAAGAAATGCTTGAAATAAAAGACAAAATGGTTTGTCTCCAAGATCAAGGGCTGACATTGGCAAGCAACAGGCTCTAAAACTATGACCCAGGAAAAAAACTTTTCTGGAAGACATCAACATCACCTCCTAGACACAGAATATGCTGGCTTCATCCCAGTGTTTTCTTTACACACTTTAAATATGTGTCTCATTAGGATCATATATAACCCACATGATTTCATGCCTTGCCTTTTCTTTTCATTCTGCAGATTCTTCTAAGGAGCCTAAATTCACGAAGTGCCGTTCACCTGAGCTAGAGACTTTTTCATGCCGCTGGACAGACGCAGTTCATCATGGTTTAAAGAGTCCAGGACCCATACAGCTGTTCTATACTAGGAGGTGCTGCCTTCATGCCTTTCTGATTTTCCTCTCTATGGATGTACCTACTAAAGTACATTGAGTCACATGTAGTGTAGGAATGGAAGTGATTTGTTGTGATTTATGTAATTAATGAGTATCATTCACTCATTTATTGAAAAAAATATTAATCAAGACCATCCTATATGCTAAGTACTATTTTAGTCACTGGAGATATAGGAGTGATTACAAAAAGACAAAATCTAGTCTCAGGGAGATTTCCTTCCAACACAGGGAGACAGACAATAAAAATTGAATAAAATGTCAGCTAGTAATATAGGTTATTAAGAAAAATAAAGCCAGAAAGCAGCATATCAGCAGTGTGTGGGAGTGTGTGTATGTGGGTGAGAGTGTGTATGGATACACATGGGCATATGCATGTGGATGAGAGTGTGTGTAAGAAGCTTGAGTGATACTGAAATGGGTGGTCCTAGGAGACCTCTCTTTTGTGGTGCCCTAGACCAGAGACATAAATGAAATGGGACCAGCCACATGAATATCTGGGGGAAAGGCTATCCAGGCAGAGGAAATTGTGTACAAAGTCCCTGAGGCAGTCTTGGCATATTTGAGGGAAGATAAAGGCTAGCACTGAAGGCACAAGATTGAAAGTGAGGATCGTGATATGGGAAAGAATCAGAGAGTTACTTAGGGACAAACTATGCCAAAGCTCATAGGCAAGGGCAAGGCTTTGAATTTTACTTTATTTGTGGTGGAAAACTATATGTGTTTTTTGAAAAGATGTATGTTTTAAAGATGCAACTTGGTTTCTAGGCAGATAATGCACTATGTCTCTTAAATATATTTAATAAAAGACTATAGTACCTTTTTTTTTTACCAATGGCCCTCTAAAATAGCAGAGGAAGGATGAAACAAAGACCTCTCAATATAGGTACCACCCAAGTTGTTTATTTCTTCCCCTTCACCTGGTATTATTTTCATTTTTGTTTACTCTTATTCTGTATATTTTTACTTTTTTTACATTTTAGGCTTAAACTCTTCATTATCTCTTCTTTTCCACCCAACTCAGAGAAGACCTAAGCCAAGATGCAGGGTTAGTGAGGACCCTTTATCCTTGGCTCAAGTTGTTCGTTAGTCAGAGGATGATGTCTATCCCACAGCGGAGCTGGGAAAGGGAAGGAAGATGCAGCCAGCACTCAGGGATATGAGCTCAGAGCCAACAAACCTGCCCTTCAGTGTAGTTCTGCACTTTCTCACCAAGGAATATTTGAGAAATTAACCAGTTTGTGAACAACTAAGCCTCCTTAATTGCAAAAAGGAGATAATGGACTTGCCTCATGGCTTCTTGTGAGGATTGTCTTAGATAACTCATGAAAAATACTTAGCACAGTACTTAACACATAATAAGTACTCAGTAAATGGTAGCTGGTATTCTTATTATTGGTACTATAGTGATAATTTTAAATAATTATGATGTATAATTCCAGTTCCTGGACTATAAAGATGACTATAAGTGGTATAAGACCATTTATACCTATAAATTATTATAATTAGTATAATTATTGGTATATTGCCATTTTAATACAGAGCTGCAGCTTAATTTGGAGATAAAAAATACTTTGAGGACCTTCCTCACCTTTCCGGGTAAGAGAGGTCTCTTAGATGAAGTGAAGTGAAGATGAAGTGTTTGGGCACCAAGTATACTATATGTTTCCTTAAGGCTGACACCACAGAGAGAGTGGGACCAGGAAACAAAGTTGATTTCTATAAGTACATTCAGACATGAAGCTAGTATGTTTGATAACACTTTTTAAATGTGTAGAATTCATTCTGTTATTTGTAAATAAAAAGAGAGAAGGAGACTTGGTGCAATTTTCATGCTTTATCTCAGAAAGCCAGCTCAATTTGTATGAGCACAATTAGCCAACCTGTAGAGAAAAGTAGCAGAATAACCTCTTAAACTGGGTCCACTTTATGAAAATAATTTTTTCCTACCTCTTTTACCAAATTTGAAATCAGCAAAAAGAGAAATCCAAAGGAATGAAGATTTCATAAACATATGTCCCTTGTCCTCATCATTCAGGGATATATAATTATCTATCAGCATCTTATGTACATCCCAGTCATTTAAGCATCCCTGGTTCAAACCCAGGATCTATACTAGCAAGGAAGCTGCTGAAGGTGTGACTGGGTAGAGGGAAAATGTCAGACATGTTCAGAAGGATGTCTTAGTTTTTGCACTGGTAGTGTTTGGAGTCCCAGGGGAATAAGTACTACCTCGTGATTAAGTGCCAACTGAAACTTACAAAATTAGATTTTTGTGTTTTTTTTCTATAAAATATAACTATTTTGAATATCTTAGCCAAACTACCATAAGCCCACAGCCCAGTTTGTCTGAGAAGGGTAGAACTGAGAGATTAGGAGGATCAGGACTGGAATAGACTAATGAGTGTACAAATAAATTTGACTTCTCATTGCCCACTTCACAAAGAGGACAATACAAATGCACTTTCTGACTCTTGTCATTGTTATTTAGAACTCAGTTGCTAGGCAACTCCTGAAACTAGAGAAATATGCCTCGCATCCTGACACAGAAATAAAACTGTGAGATGATTTTATCCAAAACCAGAGTCAGTGAAGGCAGAAAGGAGCAGAGAAGGGCGGTGCAGTTGTTTCAGTTTACTGGCCTGAGTATCTAAAGCACAACGGAATGTGAACACATCAGACTGTCAACAGGACAGTTCAGGCACAGCCCTACAGGCAGATGGGTGTTTTTCCTGGCTCTGCCCCTTGCTAGGTAGCTGGCAGAAGAGGCAGGCTCCACATGTTAGGGCAGCTGACCCTAAATAGTCTGCCATCCTGTGATGGCAACAGTACCAAATTCAGCCTCTGAGCTTGCAGGGCACTCAGGATGAATGCAAATCACAGGCATGGCAAAAGGAGGCTCTGGGAAGCATGTTGGAGCTGCTCTGCTCTCAGTTCCTTGCATGTAAATGCTGTGTTTTTAAAGAAAGTGGGCATGTGAACACTCAGTCCTTAAGGCTATATTCCCCACCTCTTCCATACCCATTCAACCCCCTTCAAAAATCACCCTGGTCTTAAGAGAAATTTCATTTTCTATGCAAGACTGTGTGGAAAATTAGTAAGGATAAAGGGCACTATTACTTTTATTTTTCTTAAGCAAAAGAGTTAAATTTAAAGCCAAAAACACATGAGCTTTCTGTCATAAAAACAGCTGCTCTTAAAACATAAATGATGTTTTATTTTTATTATTTCTTTTCCAATTGTTTGTCTTTAGATGAAAAACTAAATGAAATTTAGTCTGCTCTTTAATCTTATTTTTAATAATAGTCTCTTTCTATGGTTATTACTCCTTCCATTTCACAAGATGGTCTGGGAGCAAACCTAAACCACTTAACTTTTGGAAGTAAGCAGAGGGTAGCTTCCATAAATTGATTTTGGTCATCTGTAGAGACATTCAACCCAGTGAAGACAGGAGACACAGTATCTGTTTTATGAGCTCATCTGGGTTCTTGTCTACATTTAAGAGTTTAAAATATAAGTTTTAAATATTTTGTAAAACAAAATTCAATATTGGTTCATGAACAAAGAGGTTGGAAGTTGTGTTTTGAACTAGCTGTTCCTGATCCATCATGCTTATAATAAACACTTTGTTTGTCCTGTGGAGTTCATGGATTTGGGATAATCTAAACAGAGTTTTTTACACAGTCCTAATGGGTACCAAGGTACCGACATGCCACTGTTGAGAAATTTTGTGAAACATAAAAGAGCTAATCTCCTTTTAGAAATCCAAACCTACTAAGCACTATCTACATCTTTGGAATAACTTTTTTTTATTATTATTGCATTTTAGGTTTGGGGGTACATGTGAAGAACATGAAGATTGTTGCATAGGTACACACATAGCAGTGTGGTGGAATATTTTAATACTTTTAGTTTTCTAACTTTTTTACTATCACTTAGGCTAAATTCATTTGATATCCCCTCTATTGTGTGAAAGCCTCAGTTTCTGGGTAATCTTCTTACAACTACTCTCTTTAATGCACTCTTATTTAGTTTGAAATTAAATATCAAATTAAGCATACTATAATTCAATGAACCACCTACCTAGTCCTAATTTTTTTAATATTTTTCTTCTGACTCTAAATGTAGACACACATACATACACACACATACATACCTTATCTTTTCTTCTGCCCTTTGCTCACTTACTTTTTGCATCACAGGTGAATCTATCTCTCATTCAAGCATATGTAACTTTTTTTTTTTAGACCGAGTCTTGCTCTGTTGCCCAGGCTGAAATGCAGTGGTGCGATCTTGGCTCACTGCAACCTCCGCCTCCTGGGTTCAAGCAATTCTCCTGCCTCAGCTCACTGGGTAGCTGGAATTACAGGCACACACCACCACACCCAGCTAATTTTTGTGTTTTTAGTAGAGATGGGGTTTCATCATGTTGGCCAAACTGGTCTCAAACTCCTAACCTCATGATCCACCTGCCTCAGCCTCCCAAAGTTCTAGGATTACAGACGTGAGCCACTGTGCCCAGCCAGCATATACAACTTTTAAGAATCTCAACCAAAGCAGCATTTCACTGCCTGAGACCCTGGAGTCACTGCCATTTTAATCCCAGTTTCCTTCCAACAGCTGAGGAGCAGCTGTCTCAAGGACCCCCTTATACTACACAAGTTTTTTTCTAGTACCAAGCAGACCAGCCTGAGAAATAGCTATAAGAAGGAAATATGCATCTTCTCCCAGCTTTGCATCCCTTCCTTCCAGGCCCTGCCTTCCCCACATCCTGCTGTGTCCTCGTTGTCCACGGCTGCCCAGCACCCATCCCACAGAGGGATGGTCCCAAACCTCCGCAGTCTGGCCTGCGAGCCACTGGTGCCTCTGCCTGCACAGGGCCATTCCTACCTCATCTTCCACAACCACAGATTCCATGGTTTTATGTCCCTTGACTCATAAATTATCTTCTCAACTAATAGGCTACTGAATGATAGGGGAATAATGAATTACCTCACCCAAGTAGCAATTCTAATTTAAGAAAATTTTCCTGTTATTCCATTGCCTCTTGCTCCCCAGAGCACAGTCATGACCATACTTCCTTACCTTAATCCCTTTAACCTCTCTGTTTCCTCCCTTCCTTGCCGTATTGCCATCTATTAAACTTTTACCCATCCTTCAAGAATGCTTAAGACACACCTCTACCTTGAAGCCTTCCATGAAGAGCCAGAGCAATCATTCCCTCTTTTGAACTTTTAAGGGACCTAAAGAGCACTACTAATGAGCACTTACCCATATTACTTTGTAAAACCATTTTTTACTCCTTCCTTCTGAGGCAGGAGGAATTCCTTAAACATCTATGAATCCCCCATAGTGTCTGGCATCATGTTCTAAACATAATCAATTCTCATTAAATATCAATGGAATGAATATGAGAGACCCAAAAAACTACTCAGATGGGAATTTCTAAGTCTTCTTTTAGCCTGAAATTAAGGAACCAAATCTTACTTATCTTTATATCTGCACAGTGTTGATGCTGGATATAATGCATCACTCTGCCTGGAGCACACATCAGTTAATCTCCTCAGTTTCTTCTACCATAGATTGGGGAAACGGCCAGGTCTAAACCTTCAGTGTTCTCTGGGATTCTCTAGTTTGTGGGGTGACTCTCTGTACTGTTTTAATGAACATTTTTTAAATCTCCCTAAGTCTCAGAACCTTCATCTATAGAACAGGGATAATAAAGTACCTACCATAGGAATCAATTTATGAGCAGGCATAGCATATGCATTCAATAAACAAAAGCTTTCTCTATAGGCAAAAGTACCAAATGGCCTCATAACCATCTTTAGACACTGATGATATTGTCCACCAATGTGATACGTCTCGTGAATGGTGTTGCTAAAATACCTCTTCACAAAATACTTGTGTTCCAATTTATTGCATCAGACTATCAAGCAACTTACTTTGACTTAAGCATGATTTTTGGAACAATTAATCTTTTTAACTCTCCCTTTTAGGAACACTCAAGAAGGGACTCAAGAATGGAAAGAATGTCCTGATTATGTTTCTGCTGGGGAAAACAGCTGTTATTTTAATTCATCGTTTACCTCCATCTGGATACCTTACTGTATCAAGCTAACTAGCAATGGTGGTACAGTGGATGAAAAGTGTTTCTCTGTTGACCAAATAGGTAAATCACAGGTTTGTGTTTCATCTGCCATAGTTTTAGACTAAACAGATGGGGAAGCCTGCAATGTCCAAGTATGATCAAACAGGAAGACGTGGTAACCGTGTTCTATAGATACATGGAGATCTATTTTACAGGAGATGGGATCAGCTGGTGAACAAGAGGTAAAGGGCAGGGGAGCTTAAGTTGACTTTAACATAAAGCAGCCTGGCAGTAAATGTTGTTGAGAAAAGAATAGGAACCTTGTGGAGTGTTTTCCTTTAGGATATCTTTGAAGCTGGGTTGTGTTTTTATCTAGTACTGCAAAGGGTGAACTTAATGTATTTTTAGGATTTCTTATTTCCTAATTATTTGATAGGATGATTATATTCAGATTCACTGAAATATGTTGGCCTTTGACCTCTACCATTGCTATAATCAAAGTCTAGATTTGCTTTATCACAAAGCACAATCATTCTGGAGTGTTAACATTTGCAAAGCAGCCACAGTCGCTTTAAAGACATGTTTATAAGATCTCAGAACAAATACTGGAGACAATCAGCTCAGTGAACTAAGTGAAAGATCCAAAGAGAGGCTCCTTTGCCCCATATGGACACAAGGTGGAAACAAAACAAAGCAAAACAAACAACTGTAATTAGAATGTTCATGTTTATACCGTAATAGTATCAATAGCAAAATCGAAAGAATTCAAGAAGGACTTTGTGTAGCTGAAATTGGTGCCTCAAAATCTATCCATAAAAGCTCATTTGTTGCTTATAGGAATTCCTTGTTGCTTCTCCCAAATGTGTTGTTCTTTTATGTGGTTTTCTAGGCATCAGCAGACTGGAAGAGACATGCAAGAGTATGTGGCTATAAGTTACAGATAGAAACAAATAAAATCTAATAACCTGACTTTAAGGGAGAAAATTAAGAAAACTGTATCAAGCTGTAAAGGTAACCAGATTGCTTTGGAAAGGCAATTTAGTATGTGTCCTTACATCAGTGGGTATGGCTGTGGAGCTGAAACTAGATGAGATAGCAGAATGGGATAGTGGCAAGAATACTCTTTTAAAACCCTTATTCTAGCCCTGTTCTCTGCCAATAGCCTGTCCTACTCATTTACCTGGCTGACTTTCACTGAGCACCTGTCATGTGTCAGGCACTGTTCTGGTAGTGGTGGTTAAGGAATAAGTATGATACAGTCGAGGAGGAGAGTCAGGCATGTTCACAAATAATTAGAGTTTAGTGTAATAGTAGGTGTTAGCCTGGAAATGTGTGGAATGCAGAGCTGCAAATGTGGCAGCCAGATGCATGAATGATTGACTAGACCTGAAGGATGAGGAAGGACTGTACAGAGATGGTGACCATTTAGTTATCGCTGAACACGAATTGGACTCTCCCTATTTTTAAAAAAGTGGTGACCCACAGTGGTCAAAAGCATGAGTGAGTGTTGTCAGGTACCACAGTGGACTGTGCTTTTCAGTAACTACTGAGTTCCAACAGTAACAAACAGCACATGTTCAAGGACTCGGGAGCAGTTAGGAAGTCCTCCTAGTCAGCTGGAGAAATCATCAGTAGTCTTTTGTGCCCCAAAAAGGAATTTGGACTTAACTGTCACGAGGTCCCTTTGAGGATGTTTAAACAGGTAAATGACTTGAGGATAGTAATAGCTAATTGTCACAGAAGTTTTACCACATGTCAGGTATAAAAACATCTTTTGCAATCTGTACTTTACAGATAACAAAATCGAGGTGCAGAGCAGTTGAAGGACTCGTTCAAGTCAAACAGCTAGTAGGTAGAGCTGAGATTTGAACCTCCAGCATCCCGTGCTCTTACTCTTGAGACTATGCAGTGCCACTTGTTGCATTATTAATGCCTCGGAGCAAATAATCTTGTTGCAATGTGGAACATAGATTGTCGTGGGATGGACTAGAGGTAAAAGAGGTTAAAAGATTGAGATGATCAAGGAAAAAGATGACAGGCAGTTACAATTAGCACAGTTGTTTTGGGGGCAGGTGCTGAGAATGAAAGAGAACAAAGAACTAAGGTACCCATAGCAGATCTTGAGAAAGATGTCAATCATTATAAGCCTCAGCTTCCTCGTCTACTATATATACATGGTACTACCTCATAGAGTTGTTCTCTGGACTTAAAGTACTATGTTAGACATTTTTCATTCATTCAATTCATTCAGCAAATATTTATTATGTTCTTCCCTCAGGCCAATCAGTGTTCTCTATGATGGGGATAGGAACTTTCTTCTCTGGTGGGATTTAACCTCAGTGAGGATAGAAAGCAACAATGCTATGAAGAAATGCAGGAAAGGAGGATAGGAGTGTTGGAGAGGTTGCAGTGTTAAATGGGGTTTTCAGCATTGGCATCCCTGAGTCAGTGGCATCTGAATAAAGAAGAGTTGGAGAGAATAATTAAGTGTGTGTCTCAGGGAACAGCATTTTAGCAAGGGGGCACAGCCAGGGGAAAGATCCCAAAGTAGGAGCATGCCTTTCCTCACTCAAGGAACAGCAGGCAGGTGGTGGAGTGGGCACAGAGTGAGCGAGGAGACTGGCATGAGATCAAATTCCACAGACAGGACAGTCAAATCCACACAACCATTGTAATGACTTTGGTTTTCTCTTGGAGTGAGGTAGGAAGCCTTCGCAGGGTTTTAGGTGACGAGTGATGTGATCTAATGTAGGTGTTAGTAATCACTGTGTCACTTTGCTTGAGGATTACCCGGAGAACAGACTGGAGGGAACAAAGACCAAAGAATAGTGGAGAGACAAATGCAGCGAGAAGAGTGAAAAAAGTGAATGGCTAGGACCAGGTTATAGAGGTGCAGGTGGTGAGACGTGGTTGGATTCTGTTGTATCTTGAAAGTACAGCTGACGGAAAAGGATTAATGAGGAGAAGATGAGCCAAGGACGAGTTCATTGTTTTTATCCTGAGCAACTATAGGAATTGAGTCCTCATTAACAGCGATGGGAAAGAGGAAAGGAGAGCAGGTTTTGGAGAGGAAGAGCAAGGGTTTGTTTGGGGATATATTAAGTTTCAGATATTTTTAAAATATTTCACAGGAGTTGTCAATACAGCATGTGGATGTATGTGTAATGGTAAAGGAGAGGCCATTATTATGCCTGTAATGATGGTACCAGAACTTGTCGTATATCCTCTATTTTTCAAATGCAGCATAAGTAATAAGTTATAGAAAATCTTCCTTTAAAAACATTTCTATAGTTTGGTCACTTTAAAGGGTTAAGCTTTTGTTTTCAGGATTCCTAAATCCCCAACAAATCCAGAAGGGTGAGGAATTACTGCCATTATATTGCCATATGTAGTTTGACCATTTTGCATATCCTTCCAATTTAATTTTCAAAATGTAGTCATGATTCATCAAATTTTGACTCTCCCTGTTTTTAAAAAATTGGTGTTGACCCCACGATGAGTAACAGCATACTCCTCCACCATAAGGCGTAAGGTCTGTTTTCACTGTTGGTGCACACAAGAGCTTCCCCCTTTGGCCACCAGATGTGACAGCCAGTAAGAGCTCCTCACAGTGTATATCTGTAGACTTATCTCCAGTCAACCCTAGTGATGCACACTTTGCAACACTCTAAGTGACCTTCTATATATGGCAAAAAAAAGAAAGTAAATTTTTCTCTGTATCTGCAAGTAATTTTCAAAACCCTCGGTAATGAGATCCAACTAGAAATAATTTACTGGGAACTATCTAGAATATAAATTTAAATATAGTTTCTAGCTTTGGAATCTACATTTTTCTTCATCGGCCTCTGCGAAATTGTGGTCTTTGAGGTTGTAATAAGCAGAATGCAGCAAATTTTCCTGAGTATGTAGAGTATATCAATAGAACCTGAGAAAAACAATGTTTTAAGTTGTACACGTAACAGTTCAGAAAAAAGACAGCAAACACTGACTCATCACCATTTAAGAGAGTAACATAAAAAAAAAAAGAGAGAGTAACATAATGCCTTCTTCCTTCTTACGTCAGAGGAAAGTATCACATGTGGCTAGGAAGACCACAAAGCTAGGGAGCATTAGCAGAGAGTGCAGGAAGATTGTATGAGTGGCAACACAGAAATGAGTAAAACAAGGTCTCTGCCTCCAGGCCATACATGATTGAAAGAAAAAAGATTTCTCTACCCCCAGTTCCAAAGCAGCCCCATGTCTAAATTCTGTAGGTCTTTCTAACTGTCTTTTCAGTTTCAGGTGAAAATGAATTCCTTTGCCAGAATCCCAATGCATTTATGAGATCAGAACAAAAAGAAATATAAAATATGGCAGATCTTGAAAATGGTGATTAGATTTTTGACTCCAAAAGGAATTGTTTAAGGGCTTATTTAAAAGTTAAAAGGCCATTCTTGAGTAAAAAAAGTTACTCTCTTACAAAGTGAGAGTTATAATAAGAAAAATATTGGAAGAAATAAGAGTATGAATGATTAAAAATGTAGAAAGTAATTTGTTCTTTTGAGAAGAATGCCTTCCATGAATACTGACTTGTGTCTGTCTGTGTACTAATGCTCTGTTGAATTGCACAGTGCAACCAGATCCACCCATTGCCCTCAACTGGACTTTACTGAACATCAGTTTAACTGGGGTTCATGCAGACATCCAAGTGAGATGGGAAGCACCATCCAATGCAGATATTCAGAAAGGATGGATGGTTCTAGAGTATGAACTTCAATACAAAGAAGTAAATGAAACTCAGTGGAAAATGGTAAGATGTCACTACACCTTACACTTTGACTTTTCTATTTCAGCACCCTCTATCTCATTTATCATTAGACTTTCCTTTGACCTAATACCACAAGCCCATGCTGTATGCTTCATAATTTCTTACTTGAGAAAACATGATTTAACCAGTAAAATATTATCTTGAAATTCTGTAAGACAGGATATGTTTATGTATACATGGAAGCCTGTGGAAGGGAAAGAAAACTATTTCTCCACTCATTCTTGCTGTGCCATTTTAACTTAAAGTAAAATTATAGACTGACCACTTAGCTGTCTTTGGGGATGTGGCTAAAAATGGGAAAGTTTGTGATCAAAGTCAACAGTAGACTATGGCCAAATAGTTTCCCATGATTTTAGTTACTGCTGCTCAGAAGACTCCCATTAAAATAAATTCATATATGTCTACAGGAAAACAGAGGGAGGGCATTTGTTTTTTAGCGGTTTCAGAAGGATGTTTTGTTACATACCTCGGAGAATAATCAAGCTGAGATTCTGATGTAGGCAGTTAGAGAGCATGGTACTGGTTGAATTCTGAACTCCACGCCTTCTTACCAAGCATATGGAACTCAGCACTTTGACAGATTTCACATGGCACATAACAAGAGGAAAAACAGAGTATCGTGCTGCTCCCAATACAACTAATTCTAAACCTGCGGTCTTAACCACAGCCACATCCACAGCCAAGCCAAGCAGTTTCTGGCCACTCATCAGGTGATGGCCAGCAGCCTGGCACAGATCACTCCCAGAATTTTGAGACACCAGCCCTGTCCATTCAGTGAACCACTGAAAAAGATGCCAATTCTGTCTAGCAGAAAGTTAAGTTTGGAGGAACTTTAAATAGTTACAATACTGGGTTTTGAGGCTCTATTTTCTGAATCATTTTAATTTAGATATCTGTTATGTAACTTGGTACAAATAAAATGCCTGATTGGATGCTAAGTCAAATAAGACTGTCTAAATCCAAGTTACAATCAAACATTATTCAGCAACAGGTACTGAAATAACTACTATGCAGAAGGCACTGTGCTAAATACCTAAGGTAACAGTTCTCAAAGTGGGAACCACAGACCCCTGAGGGTCCCTGAGATCCTTTTGGGGAGTTCAGTACTGTTTTCACAATACGCTAAAATGTTATTTTATTCACTATGTTGAAGTTTAACTTTACGGCACAAAAGCAATAGGGAAACATTGCTGCCGCATGAAGCAGGGCAGTAGTATCAAATTTTACTAATAGTCATTGTATTCTCCATCATCATGCACTTACAGTAAAGAAGGAGGGAAAAGCCAGTTTCACATATGAAGTTATTGATGAAGCTGTAAAAATTGTTAATTTTACTAAACCTCGATCTCTGAGTACATAGCTTATCAATATTCTGTGTGAGGTGTGGAAATTACACATTAAGCATGTCTGCTACATACCGAGGTCTTGAAGAAAAACGTTTAAATGACTGAGTTGTTAGCTGAACTAGTTGCTTTTATTACTTGGAGCACCATTTTTACTTGGAATAACAACTGATAAACTGGCAGATCGTTATTCATATTTGAATTGGCAAACATTTCTCAAAAAAGAATGAAGCGAACTTGTCCCTTCAAAAGAAACAACTGACAGTATTTTTTTCCGTGAAAAATTTTGACTTTTCAAGGCAATTCATTTTGCCTTTTTGGAAAATTTGTATCTGCAATCGTGAGCTTAATAGTGTTTTAATATTTGAAGACTTTTCTTGAAGAGATTGATGGTGATATTAGTGAAAGTGACTTTTAAATTATATTGTATAATAAAATGTATGAACATTTAGAAAAGCTACAAGTCAGCTAACCAATATTTCCCAAATGACTAATATATGATATAAGCAAATCATGTGTGAGGAAATGATCCATTCAAAGTACTAGATAGAATGGTGAATTTTTTTAATGATCAAAAAATATTTTGTATGTTTATTGTGTACAACTTTTTTTGAAATATGGATACATTGTAGAATGGTTCTATCACACTAAGTAACATATACATTACCACACATAGCATTTTTTGTGTGTTGAGAATACTTAAAATCTATTCATTTAGAGATTTTCAAAATACAATACATAGTCATTAACTATACCTAGGCATTAACCATTTCATACAGTAGATCTCTTAAATGCATTCTTCCTAACTGAAAATTGTAATTCTCTCATCAATATCTTCTCAGCCTTCCACCCTACTACCCACCACCCTGATAACCACCATTCAACTCTATATTTTTGAGTTCAACTTTTTTAGATTCTGCGTATAAGTGAGATTATGTGGTATTTGTTTTTTCTGTGTCTGAATCATTTTCCTTAATATCATATCCTCCAGTTTCATCCATATTGTCACAAATTACATGATATCTTTCGTTTTTGAAAGGCTGATAGCATTCCATTGTGTATATATATTATATTTTCTTTATCCACTTACCCATTAATGGAATGTAAGTTGATTCTATATATTGGCTGTTACAAGTAATGAACATGGGAGTCCAGATATTTCTTCAACATATTGATTACATTTTCCTTGGATATATACTTAGTAATAATATAATGGATAATATGGTAGTTCTATTTTTAATTTTTTGAGGAAGCTTCATATTATTTTCCATAAAGGGTATATTAATGGACACTCCCACTAATAGTGTGAAAGGGTTCCCTTTTGTCCACATTCTCACCAACACTTGTTATCTGTTCTCTTTTTTGGAACTAACCATTATAACGATTTTGTGCACTCTATACCTTCTGTGAGCTGATATCTCATTGTAGTTTAAATTTACATTTCACTGATGATCAAAGATGTCAACCATTTTTCATATACCTGTTGGTCATTTCTGTATCTTCTTTTTTTCTATTCAAGTCCGTTGCCCATTTTTTAATTGGGTTATTTATTTTCTTGAATAAATAACCCAATTAAAAAATGGGCTATTGAATTGTTTGATTTAGTTCCTTATATATTTCAGATATTAACCTCTTATTGGATGTATGTAAATATTGTCTCCCATTCCATAGATCGTCTGTTTACTCTGTTGATTGTTTCCTTGGCTATGCTTTTCATGCAATCCTGTTTATCTATTTCCACTTTTGTTGTCTGTGCCCAGTGGAGTCATATCCAAAATATCATTTCCCAAACCAATGTCATAGAGCTTTTTTCCTGTATTTTCTTCCAGTAGTTGTACAGCTTCAGGTTTTACATTTAAGTCTTTATCAATTTTGACTTTATTTTTGTATATGGTGTAAAATAAGAGTATAATTTCATTCTTCTGCATGTAGATATCTAATTTTCCCAACAGCATTTAAAGACATAGTCCTTCCATTATTTTGTATTCTTAGCACATTTGTAATAAATCAATTTACTGTAAATGTGTGCACTTATTTCTGAGTCCTTTATTCTTTTACAATGGTTTCTATGCCAGTACCATGATCTTTTGATTACTATAGCTTTGTAGTATGTTTTGAGGTCAGTAGAGTGATAATTCCAGCCCTGTTCTGTTTGTTCAAGATTGCTTTGGCTATTCGTAGTCTATTGTGATTGCATACAAATTTTACAATTGCTTTTTCTATTTCTGTGAAAAATGACATTGGACTTTTGATAAGGATTGCATTGAATTTGCAGATCACTTTAGGTAGCAGGGACATTTGAACAATATTAATTCTTCTAATCCGTGAACATGGCTCTCTGTTCATTTATTTACGTTGTCTTCGTGGTTTACAGTTTTTAGTGTACAGATATTTCACCTACTTGTTTAAATTTATTTCTAGGTATTTTATTTTATTTTTATTTTTATAGCTATTGTGAAAGGTTTTTTTAAAATTTCTTTCTCAGATTGTTCCTCATTAGTGTATACAAACATCACTGATTTTGGTATGTTGACTTTGTATCCTGCAGCTTTACTGAATTTGTTTCTCTGTTCTAGCAGTTTTTTGTTGATGTCTTTATGGTTTTCTATATATAAAATCATGTCATCTGCCACCAAGGAAAATTTACCTTCTTCCTTTCCAATTTTGGATGTGTTTCATCATTTTGTGGTGATACCAAAAGCAATTACAACAAAAACAAAAGTTGACATACGAGATCTAAGTAAACTAAAGAGATTCTGCACAGAAAAAGAAATAACTGAAAAAAAAGACAATCTATAGAATGGCTGAAAATATTTGCAAACTATATATCTGACAAAGGTCTAATATCCATTATCTATAAGGAACTTAAATAAATCAACAAGCCAAAAACAAACCCCATTCAAAAGTGGACAAAAGACATAAAGAGACACTTTTCAAAAGAACACAAACATGTGACCAACAAGCATATGAAAAAATAGCAAGCATTACTGATAATTAGAGAAAGGCATATCAAAACCACAATGAGATACTGCATCACAGCAATCAGAATGGCTATTACTAAAAAGTCCAAAAATTACAGATACTGGTGAGGTTGCAGAGAAAAGGAAACACTTATACACTGTTGATAATAATGTAAATTAGTTCAGTCACTGTGGAAGGTAGTTTGGCAACTTCTCAGCGAACTTAAAACAGAACTGCCATTTGACCCAGCAATCCCATTTTTGGATGTATACCCAAAGGAATATAAAGCGTCTTTGTGGGGGTGGGACCCACTGAGCCAGATCACTTGGCTCCCTGCCTTCAGCCTCCCTTTTTTCAGGGGGAATGGGTGGTTCTGTCTTGCAGATGCTCCAAGTGCCTGCTAAAACGGCCCCCCAGTTTTGTGCTGGAAACCCATGACACTGGCTCAAATGACCACACACTTTTGTGCTAGAAACCCACAGCACTGGTGTTGTTGCCACAGGCAGGAACCTCTTGGTCTGTGGGCCGTAAAGATTATGGAAAAAGCACAGTATCTGAGCTGGAGTGCCAGATTGTCTGGAAAAGTCCCCGATGGCCTCCCTTGGTAGGAGGGGGAGTTCTCTGTTCCCTTGCACTTCCTGGGTGAGGCAACACTCCACCCTACCTCAGTTTGCCCTCCTTGGGCAACAGCCACTCTCCAACCAGTCCCATCGAGATGATCCTGGTACCACAGTTGGAAATGCAGAGATCACTTTCCTTATGTGTCACTCTCAGTGGGAACTGTGCTCCGGAACTGTTCCTATTCAGCCGTCTTGGTGGAAGTCAGGTTTTGCATTTAAGTGTTTAATCTATCTTCAGTTGATTTGTGTACATGCTGAAAGGAAAGGGTCCAGTTTCAATCTTCTGCATATAACTGGCCAGTTATCCAGCACTATTTATTAAACAGTCTTTTCCGCATTTCTTGTTTTTGTCAACTTTGTCAAAGATTAGTTGGTTGTAGGTATGAGGCTTTATTCTGGGGTTTTCTATTCTGTTCCATCGATCTTTGTATCTTTTTTTTTTTAACCAGTACCATATTGTTTTGGTTCCTGTAGCTTTGTAGTATAATTTAAAGTCAGGTAATGTGATGCCTCTGGCTTTATTCTTTTTAGCTAGGATTGCTTTGACTATTTGGCCTCTTTTTTGCTTCCATATGAATTTTACAATTTTTTTTCTAATTCTATGAAAAATTACATTGATAATTTGATAAGTATTACATTGAATATGTAGATTATTTTGGACATTAAGGTCATCTTAACAATATTGATTCTTCTAATTCATAAGCATGGAATGTTTTTCCATTTGCATTACCTATCATTTCTTTCATCAGTGTTTTATAGTTCTACTTATAAAGCTATTTCACCTCCTTTATTAAATGTATTTCTAGGTTTCTGTGTGTACATGTGGCTATAATAGGCTGTTTTAACCTGATAACAATTTAACTTTCTTGCATAAAAAATCTCCACACTTTTACCTCACATACCCCCAACACACAGATTCTAAATTTTCAATGTCACACTTATATCTTTTTATATTGCACATTTCTTAACAAATTATTGTACCAGTATTATTTTTAATAATTGTATCTTTTAACCTTCATTCTAAATCAAAAGTGATTTACATATTACCATGAAAATATTAGACTACTCCAAATTTGACTATGTACTTACTTTTACCAGTGAGTTTTATACTTTCACATGTTTTTATGTTACTAGTTAGCCCACTTTGCTTTCAGCTAAAGAACTCCCTTTAGCAGCTCTTGCAAGATAGGTCTATTTGTGAGGAATGGTTAATTTTAATTTAACAAAGTACAAAAAGTTCATTGGTAGAGTTTCAGATTTCATATTTCCACTAACCTTTAAGAAACTATCATTTGAGTTTTAGTGTATTGTTAAACAGAAATGTTCACAATTATGTAAAAAGTTTATTAAAATATTCCTCCTTTCCCCCACTATTTATCTGTCTGAGGCCAGGTTTTATTCATTTACTTCAACCAAAACAGCACACTGTAATAGATTTAATTCAGAAGTAGTTAAAAAAATACAGCCATCTTCAAGTCAGACATTAAAGAGATTTGTAAAAATGTAAAACAGTGTCACTTTTCTCACTCTAATTTTTGTTGTTTGGGAAACCACAATAATTTTTATGAAAATGTATTATTTATTTTAACATAAAATCAATTCATTATTTTTATTTTAAAAAATAGGATTTAAAATTTTTTCATTTCAATTTCTAATATAGTAAATAGTGATAGGTATAACCCAACTAAACCAAAATCTTTAGGATTCTCTAATTTTTAAGTTTAAAGTAGTCCTAAAACAAAATAGTGAAACAACCAAAAAAAAAAAAAACAGATATAAATCCAAATGTTAACATTCATCGATTCAGTTACCATCATTTCACCTCTAAAAGCCCATGGCATATAGTTATCTCACTGAGGCAACACTTTGAAACTCCCACGCTGTGCCAAGTACTTGTGAGCATGTAACTTTGTTAACTGTTCAGAGCTGTATCCCAACATGGCTTCATTGCCCTTTTCATGGCACCGCTGCTAAATCTCATTAGGTACTCCAAAGAAGTCAGTGAACTTTTTCTTTATACCTTTTATTCATGATACTTATAAGTTTGGTAGTTTGCAAAGGTCTTGGACAAAGACCAGGGACTTATCTGTAATAATTAATTTATCTCTTGAAGAAACAAACAATATAATTGGTTATGAAGCACAGGCATCATAAGCAGAAAAAAGGTTTATAAGTAAAGGGAGAGAACCTGGTGTGTAGTGCTTGTATCAGGAATTCATGTTACCATTTGGCAATATGAACTTTTAGCACTGGGCCTTTTTTGTTTGTTTGTTTGTTTGTTGAGGCAGGTCTTGCTCTGTCCCCAGGCTGGCATGCAGTGACCCAATCTCAGCTTACTGCAACCTCCACCTCCAGAGTTCAAGCGATTATATGCCTAGGACTCCTGAGTAGCTGGAATTACAGGCACACACCACCACATCCAGCTAATACAGCTAATTTTTGTATTTTTAGTAGAGATGGGGTTTTACCATGTTGGCCAGGCTGGTCTGGAACTCCTGACCTCAGTTGATCCACCAACCTCGGCCTCCCAAAGTTTTGGGATAACAGGCGTAAGCCACTGCGCCCAGCCACCCTTTTTATTAAATACATTTTGCATGACCATGTAGTTGTTTACAACTATTTATCTAGTAAACCAATAACTTACAATTTTTTAAAAAAGACTTAATGAGTGACACGGAATTATTCATGATATCTGTGCCATACCTTAAGCACCCACTGGATACTGGATATTGTGCTGGGCTTTGGAGGAAAAATAATGAGTTCTCTTGGAAAATTTACAATGTAACATAGAAAGCTTTGTGTAACTAAATTTGCACAGTGAAATATAATTAATAATGGAAGAAGTATATTATTTGGCAGAGTACAGTGGGGAAAAGTACCAGCAAAGACAGAATATCAGCTCAATACTCACACTTAGACTTGGATGAGAAACAGGCGCTCCGCACAGGGAGATGACAGGTTTAGGTATGATAGGAGCCAAGTGGGTAGGAGCTACTCGAAATCTGAGTTTGGTTTGGCTGTTGTGGAGGGTTGAGGGAATATGGAGAGAGGACCACACTTGCATCACTGAGGGCCCTTTTTTTATTCTATTATTCGTAAAATCATTTAAGAAATTGTATTGGTGACAATAACAGAGAAATAAGGGCTTTGAGGATGCAAACATAGGCTTTAAAAAATACCTTATGCAAAATAATAAAATAAGCTCAGTATTCAGTATCCTACTTTAAAGAAAGCATTTTAGGCATGCAAATATCCCGTATTTTCAGAGGCTCCTATAAAAAAATACAAACAAACCCTGTCATATAGACATGGGGCAAAAAAGGTACTTTGTGAGTAGAAGCTAATTGAGGTAAAAGAAAAACTTGTTTTAGAAGCTGAAGGCCCAGCTGCTGACTTAATAAAACAAATTATGAGACTTTTATTTAAGTGAAAATCCATGCTGTTGAAAAAATGAGTGTTTCAAGTTTTCTATAAACAGGAACAAGGTGTTCTACCAAAAAAGATGTATGAAAACACCTTGAATATCTGCTTTGAGTATTTGACTTGGAGGAAAATACTAGTTGAGTCTACCTCTTTGATAGCAATATGTATTAAAGTCTAACAGTCTCACTGTAACCTTCCCTGAGAAAGTAAAGGAATATACTGACTTGAAGCGTTGTGAGAACTAGATGTTTCTTAGCAAAGGACTCCAGTGACTTTTCTTTGCAGGTTTTAAATAGCAAAGTATTTTGTGGTGGCTTTAAGCCTTCCAGAACAAGCAGATTAGGTATGTAGTTGTTTTTAATAAAACTATTTGAAAGTTCACTAAAGGCAATTATGATTTGTCTAGGACCTTTTCCAATTCTGTGATTATATGAGTGACCACCCAGAATTTCCACTGAACACTGATATACAACTTGCTATGGCTACAATTTATTTTGGTGTGGAAACATGTTTGTTTTTTCTGTTTTTATATCACCCTTCATACAAAAGTGTCATATCCCAGATATGTAAGCAATGTATCTGTAGTTTTCTTTATAGTTCTACCGTTCAGCATAATTCTAATATGCTTTAATCTTATTAAATATCTAGAAGACTAATGCACAGTTATAGCTGCATTTCTTTAGGCAAGTCTATCATATCTTTGGGTTTATACCAAACTAAATTTGTGAACTATTATCCATTTTAAAAAATAATTCTTTACATAATTATTTACCTCAATCTATCTTTAAATAGCAAACACTCACAGTGCATTTTAAAACATTACCTACTTTATAAAAACCCATTCTGTAGTGTTTATTGCATGGAGCTGTTGACTCTTTAGCCAATATGCCTTTATATTTTGTCTTGAAAGATGGACCCTATATTGTCAACATCAGTTCCACTGTACTCATTGAGAGTGGATAAGGAATATGAAGTGCGTGTGAGATCCAGACAACGAAAATCTGAAAATTATGGCGAGTTCAGCGAGGTGCTGTACGTAAAACTTCCTCAGATGAGCCAGTTTACATGTGAAGAAGGTAAAAGAAATACAAGACTAAAATAGCAACTAACTTGGCTTTTGTCAATATAGCAGTTGATTCATCCCTGCACTGGTAGCATGTTGTTTAAATCAAAATATACTAGCATCAGGTATCAGGGTGAGAGACCTTGAGCTCACTATCTGTAACAGATATTGTTCATTGCAAAAGCAGAAGGAAGATTTAGTTTCCAAATTTTTCATTCAGGAAAAGTCCTGGGACAGGTGGAAGTTCAGAGACAGGAATATGGTGGCAATCTCTGGATGGTAGAATTCAGTTATTCTTTTCTTTATATGTTTTTATATTTCTAAAATTTTCTATAGTAAGTTTGTTTTGAATTTATAATCAGGAAAAAGCTGTTCTAATGGTTAGGGAAGAAAGTGTGTATCTATATGAATAAATAGATATGTGGCATCTAAGAGGAAACCTAATATTGACTCAGCATAGGTAGTCAACAGCAGGTGCATACAGTTTTAGAAAGTGGAGTGTGGATTTTACCTAGAGGAATGCCTAATAAGTAGTGTGCTAGTGATACTCAAAGAAGACATGGAACATCTGAAAACCCTGTGAAGGAGAACAACAACAATGATTAACGTTTTTTAAAATGGGACTTATGAATTTAGAATAAAAGGATTAAAACTTTTAGATACAGAAATAAATAAAACTGATTAACAATGAGCAGAAATTACAGAGTATTATCACTCTCAAATCGGAATTGGCTGTCTTCCATCTTCATTGAAAACAGAAAGATTACAGGGCTGTATGTTTGTTAACCAAACAACCATAAGTTACATAGAAAATAAATTTATATTTCTGCATTTACTATACAAGTAGAATCTCATGATACTAAATACCACTAAGATGAAAATTTCTATAGCATCATTTTCTCTAAACTCTAGTTAAATAACTTCTTGTTTCCAAACTATTTGATTTAATGAAATTCTGGTCTTAAAAGTACAATTGCTATACACTCTTAAGCTAAGTGTAGTGGCATTTAATTCACTTAACATATATTTTTTAAACTAGCTTTTCCTTCTGTTATTAACCAAAAAAAAGCTCTAACTTTATGTTATTTTCATGAATATGTCACTGACAGAAAATTATAGATACTACAAGACAAAGAATGATATTTTCTCCTCCACCAATTCTTTAAAATGCTTATAACATCTCCCTAGGAGATTTTAATAACTTATTAAATAAGAAAAGGTATTTCAGCATAAAGGCCTACTTTTTAAAACGCAATATTAAAGTAAATTCCATCTCTCATTTTTATGAAAAAGTAGTTAACCTCTGCCTCTGTGGTAAGAGTACTGCAACTGCAAAGTAGCTGAGAGATACTCACTCTTAAGGAATCAAATAGAAGTTTTACAAACAGGCCCCCAAGTCTGATATAAAGTATACCAAAACCTGAAGATGGGAGCCTCAGTAGTGATCTATCAATTGTATGTATATAATATACATGAGATATATTTATCATATTTTAATAATTTAATTTATTAATATAAATGTATATTTATAGCTGTAAAATATATGTTCTTTGTGTCTAAGAAATTTCTGTCATGATTTATAAATGAAAACTCTGCCTTCATCTTTTTGATAAATCTTCAGTCCGGAGGCTAAGAAAATCACCACACTTAGAAAAAATATATAAACCAAGTGGACATTATTTATGTAGTGTGTTAATAAACAACACCTTTTACCAGGAGCTGAAACGTTTTTGATACTCCCTTGACACATAATATGCTTAAAGCAGATTGTTTGTTTTCATAAAACACGTGTTGATTTTGATCTATATGCTGTTTCTTTCTTTTGAAGTGTATTTTTTTAATATGAAGAGATTTGAAAAGTAGAGATGGTCTTAGAACAGAATAAAACTAAGTTTTTGCATTCTGTTTCAGTGGTTATCCAAAGAAATCACTGACTTTATTAGGAATACAAATTAGGAATTTTTTGTGAAAAGGGAAAGGGAAATGTAAACTGTGCTTCAACTATTCATAATTCTAAGAGTGAAATATTCTTGTGTGTTTCAGATTTCTACTATCCATGGCTCTTAATTATTATCTTTGGAATATCTGGGCTAACAGTGATGCTATTTGTATTTTTATTTTCTAAACAGCAAAGGTAGGTATGAAGTAGTGTTCTCTGGTAGTTTTTGCCAGTTGTTTAGATTTCCATGTGTGTTTCTCTTTATTATTTGATATTTTCTTTTGTAAATTACGAGTGGAAATTTTAATTAACCTAGTAAACTTTTATCTCTAGTTATATATTTACCATTTATATGAAACTCAATTTGTTGTATTTATCATAGACAACTTGGAAGTTTAGATTCTATCTGGAGACTTGTACAGAACATTAAGATGCTTAGGCTACTGACTATGCATACCTTGTGATGTGTACCTCTTTATCCAATAGCTACCTCTTCCCCTCAAGTCCTCAACAAGTTGACCCATTCATTCCAGGACTTCAGAATATCACTGAGCCTTTGGCTGAGTCTGATGCTGACCTTATATAGAGTCAATTTTTTTTCCCCTTGAGATGGAGTCTCACTCTGTTGTGAATTTATTTTAAAAGGTTTTAATTTGTTTTGTGACATAGTACAGCATTTGTAAACTTCAAAATAGAATTTTATTAAGAAGAAGAATTCTTGGGATGCTAGAGTGTAAAAGTCTAACTGAATGCAGAAAGGGTTATTTTCAGTAGAGTTTCATGTCCAATTTTATAATATAAACTAATGGGAAAGTACAATTCATTCTGCAGAATTCCATTTTGCATCTAACTTTCTGGCAACATTTCTGTTTTACAAAAAAGCAGCTATCATAAATCACAACACAATTTTCTATTGTTTCAGGAAAATAAATAAATGTATTTTTAGAATTTTAAGTAATTTGTATATTTAAGTAATGCCAACCACAAAGCAAAATTATTCTGCTGATTAATTTAGTTCATTAATCTGTATATTTAGTGGGATAATTTATATATAACTTCAGTAGATAAACTCACGAGGTACATAAAGTAATTAGCTCTTAATATTAGCTGTGAATTTCTAGCCATTGTGAAGGCCAAGTTAATTTGTTATGTTGTTTAGTTATATTAGCTAACAATATTAGGGAAAAAAAATCATCTCAAAAAGTAGGATTTCCAAGAAAACATATTACTTCTAATAGAGTGATTTTTATAAATAATGAAATTTGTAACTATAATGTTTAGTCAAAATCACCAAATTCTACAATCGATTTGAAATCTTTATTCTCCCGAATTTCCTGCACTAAATTGAATTCTCTGTAGGAAAGAATTAACTTTTTTCTTTCATTTGCCCATAAAAACCCTTATCATTGTCTAAATTTGCATGTTCTACTAAAAGTAGGAAATAATAGCAAATATTTGTCAGCAAGTATGGACAGAACATGTAGTTCCAGCAGTTAAAATGGTACTTCCAAGAAGAGATCTTGTCTAGAACTCTAGGGCTAGAAAGTGGCTTCAGGTCCTACCGGTTGCCGTTGAAATCTTGTGAGTCCACAATTCATTATCCAAGCCACTTCACCCCGGTTTAATCCAGTTAATTAAGAGTTAACTCTAGCAAAAATTATAATTTTATGTGTATTTGATACAAAATCACAAACATAGTTTCAAGACAGGTTATTATTATACTGATTCCTACCATACAACCCACCCAGCCTTTGAGCTGCTACCAGTTGAGGAAAGAAATAACTTAATCAGCCTAAAACAGAACTTCCAAGCCAAAAACCAAACTTGGCCTACAGATTGATATTTTGTTATTTTATTTTAATTAGTTTTTATTTTAGAGTGAAGATTTTCCTACAAAGTGTTTGTAAAATAGAGAATTTCACACAAAAATCCAGATTTGGGAATTATCTTTTAAAAAATGAAAGATGTAGTGAAACTGGATAAGGCAGCATATACTGCAGCGGACACCCAGCTGTCCTATTTGGGATGGGCACACATTCTTCAATTTGCCACCATCCTCATTACTCCTGATGACTTTGCAACTGGCCTGCTTCATTTATCTGCATGACCTGCTTGAGCCCCTTAGATTTATGGTCTGCCACTGTGACATAAGCTCACTACAGCCCCTAGAAAAGCAATAACACATGCCTGAATGCATCATCCTATTCAAAAAGGAGAAGCACAAAGTCCAACATCAGCCATTTGGAAAGCTTTGCTTCCTGTAATTAGAGTTATGTTCCATCTGTTTATGTTTTTGAGAATTTGAAACATAGATTTAGAGATGGAGAATTTAAAAAAAAAAAAAACAGCACAATGCAAAGAACCTGGATTTTGGAGTCAGGTTCTCTGGGTTTGAGCCCCAACTATGCAGACTATGAGTGCATGCTTGGAACATGTTCCTTGATTTTCTAAGTTTTTGCACAGATGTATCATCTGCCTCCCTGGGAGTCATAAGGATTAAGTGAAATGTTTAGTGCAGGGGTCACAAACTTGTTTTCTAGAGTCAGAGTACATTTTTAGGGTTTTCAAGTCATACAATCTCTGTCACAACTACTCAACTCTGCCACTGTGGCGTGAAAGTGGTCATAGACAATATGTAAATGAATGAGCATGCTTGTGTTCTCATAAAACTTTATCTACACAGATAGGTGACAGTCCAGATTGGCCCACAGGCCTTAATTTAGTGACCCATAGTTTAGTGCAAAGTATATCCCACAGTGTCTGATTTATCAGGAGCACTAAAAAATGATGGTAGTTATTATAAATAATTTGTACTGCTTATTTCTGTATCTGTAATTCATCGGTAACAATTTGCTTTAACACTTGCCCCACTGCTTAATGCAATTTATAAAATGGAATTTTGCTTATTCCTTGGATTAGATAAAATGGCAAGTGGAAATATTCAGAGAATGTATTCCTTATGGAATGGACTAGACTGACCACTCACACTGAGTGGAATAGCAACTGATATCCAAAATCAGGTTATCATCTCTCTGTAACAGTGTCATCTCTGAATGAATACTTAGGAGTTTTTTAAAAAGTTAAATGAATTCTTTGGAATAGATAATCTCTGAGCCTTTTTCCAGTGCTACAATTTGATTTAAAAAAAAAATAAACTCCAGGCCAAATACAGTGGCTTATAGCATATAAATCTAGCACGTTGGGAGGATGGGGCGGGAGGACTGCCCTGAGGCCAGGAGTTCCAGACAGCTTGGGCAATGACTTGAGCAAGACTCCATTACAAAAAGTAAAACAATAAAAATTAGCACACCCTGCAGTCCTACCTACCTAGGAGGCTGACACAGGAAGATCACTTGGCCCAGAGCTTTGAAGCTGCAGTGAATTTTTATTGTATCACTGGACTCCAGCCTGGGCAATAAAGTAAGACCCTGTTTCAAAAAGTCAAAAAACAATTAAAAACACAGTAAACTCCAGTTACACTATTAATTGTTCAAAATAGATAAATGATTTATTCAGTTTCATGACCAAAAAATAATGTAAAGATTTGGAACCAAAAATGTAAATGTATCCTAGGATAGTATATATAAACCCATACTGAATAGTTAAAGATAATTCAAATTTAGTCTGTCCAACCTGAAATGAGTTCTGCTGTAACACCCTGGTTAATAAGATCATCTTAGATAATTTCACAATTAATATGAACTATATGGCTGGCCTACCCAAGTCTACCCTTTTTTAAGGGTACAAAAATCTTGGCTCCATGACTCTTTTTTCTTTCTTTTTTTCTGTACAAATTACTGATGAGATGTACACTAGAATTGCCCTCCTTATAGCTGACATGGAAATCAGCTTCAGATGAAATTAAATTTCTTACTTTCAAATACTAAATCTGACTGTCAATAGAAAGCATTAAGAACAAAAAGATTGTGGGAAAACCACATTTTCTTTTAATAGATGTCAGATGAGGGCTTTTGGGGTTTTTTAATTATTGCTATTTTCTTTCCTTCTATAATTTTTCTTCCTAATTTACTGTCTAATATTTCCTTCTGTTTCTCATATTCCAATTATATAAAGTACAAGAATACTTGGAATACTTAAAAGTATTGCCAATATTTTATTTCTATCTTTTGCTATAAGTGAGAATATGTAGCTTTAAGATGTCAAAACCAAAATTTTATTTGTTTTCAAGGATTAAAATGCTGATTCTGCCCCCAGTTCCAGTTCCAAAGATTAAAGGAATTGATCCAGATCTCCTCAAGGTAATTCATAATTTTATCTAAATTGTAGATAGTACTAATTAACACCTGGAGAATGCTGTTATATGTTGAAGGTTTTCTGTATCATATATATATGTCATATCATATATATATATATATCACATATATACATATCACATATATATATCACATTCAATTTTCTTGTATCTCATCTGGAGAAGATTTTTTTAAATATTATATCTCATAAAAATAAGAAAATGTCATATGTATTTAAATTTTATATATAATAATTTGTTTTGTTTATATGTTTTTGTTACTGTTGTTTTTATTGTAACCATATCTCTGAACATTACTTGCTAAGTCATTTAATTATTATGAGTTTCTTTTCATAGATCTTCATTTTCTTTCTATTTTCTAGGAAGGAAAATTAGAGGAGGTGAACACAATCTTAGCCATTCATGATAGCTATAAACCTGAATTCCACAGTGATGACTCTTGGGTTGAATTTATTGAGCTAGATATTGAGGACCCAGATGAAAAGACTGAGGGATTAGACACAGACAGACTTCTAAGCAGTGACCATGAGAAATCACGTAGTAACCTAGGGGTGAAGGACGGCGACTCTGGACGTACCAGCTGTTATGAACCTGACATGCTGGAGACTGATTTCAATGCCAATGACATAAATGATGGTACCTCAGAGGTTGTTCAGCCACAGAGGTTAAAAGGGGAAGCAGATCTCTTGTGCCTTGACCAGAAGAATCAAAATAACTCACCTTATCATGATGCTTGCCCTGCTATTCATCAGCCCAGTGTTATCCAAGCAGAGAAAAACAAACCGCAACCACTTCTTACTGATGGGGCCGAGTCAACTCATCAAGCTGCCCATATTCAGCTAAGCAATCCAAGTTCACTGGCAAACATTGACTTTTATGCCCAGGTGAGCGACATTACACCAGCAGGGAGTGTGGTCCTTTCACCGGGCCAAAAGAATAAGGCAGGGATGTCCCAGTGGGACATGCATCCAGAAGTGGTCTCACTCTGCCAAGCAAACTTCATTATGGACAATGCCTACTTCTGCGAGGCAGATGCCAAAAAGTGCATCCCTGTGACTCCTCACATCAAGGTTGAATCACACACAGAGCCAAGCTTTAACCAAGAGGACATTTATATCACCACAGAGAGCCTTACCACTACTGCCAGGAGGCCTGGGACAGCAGAACACGTTCCAGGTTCTGAGATGCCTGTCCCAGATTATACCTCCATTCATATAGTACAGTCCCCACAGGGCCTCATACTCAATGCGACTGCCTTGCCCTTGCCTGACAAAGAGTTTCTCTCATCGTGTGGCTATGTGAGCACAGACCAACTAAACAAAATCATGCCTTAAGACTTTCTTTGATTTCCCAAGAGCTACATATTTAATGACAAAGGATTGGCTGGGGCATGAACACTTAAACCAAAACAATGTTTAAACCTTTTTGTGGGGGTGACAGCGTGGGGTGTGGATTCTAAATGCCTTTTCCCAAAATGTTGAAATATGATTAAAAAAAATAAGAAAAATGCTTAATCAGATAGATATTCCTATTGTACACTGTAAATATTTTAAAGAATTGTGTCAGACTGTTTAGTAGCAGTGATTGATTGTCTTATTATTGTGGGTGTTAATTTTGTGATACTAAGCATTGAATTGCTATGGTTTTAATGTATAGTAAATCACGCTTTTTGAAAAAGCAAAAAAATCAGGTGGCTTTTGCAGTTCAGGAAAATTGAATGCAAACCATAGAACAGGCTAATTTTTTTGTTGTTTTTTAAATAAAACGCTTTTTTATTTAAAAATTAAATTAAAACTATAAGTGAGAAATTAAAACTATAAGCAAGAAGGCAAAAATAGTTTGGATATGTAAAACATTTATTTTAACATAAAATTGATAAATGTATTTTTAATAATTTAACTTCAAGCATGGCTATTTTATATTACACTACACACTGTGAACTGCAGTTTGTGTGACCCCTCTAAGGAGTATAGCAACTATAGTCCAAAGCTGGTTTAATGTTTTGGCCAGTGCACCTAAAGAAAAACAAACTAGTTTTTTACAAAGCTCTTTTATACCTCCCCAGACTCCTTAACTAATTCTAAAATGATTGTAAAATTTTGCATTATTAGAACATAATTGTTTTGTCTGAATTTTTAAACAAATATTTGTTAATTTGGAAAACTTTAAAGTGTTTGCACAGATCAACTTACTGTGCACCAAAAGAAGTAAAAGCAAAAAAAGAAAACCTTTCTTCACCAAATCTTGGTTCATGCCAAAAAAAATACATCCGAAGAGAAGTAGAAACCATAATTGGTTCATACTTAACAAGATGCCTAAGTGCTGTGGTTGCATGTAGAATGAGTTTTTTAGTGCGTGCAGATGGTGAGAGATAAGATCCATATCCTCTGCAGCAGAATTTGTTCACACCCAACTTGGTTTTGTTACATAATTGTCTAGGAAGGGAATAAGGTACAAGAATCATTTTGTAAATTGAAGCAGATCAGTTTGGGTAATGAAACACAGAGTTCAAGAAATAGGTTTTTGTTTCATGGCCTATAACCAGACACATATTCATTTTTCATGGTAATGAACAGATCATAGACAGAAGAAACAAGGTTTTCAGTTCCCACAGATAACGCAAAATTATTTAAACCAGTAAAAGAAACTCTCTTTCTCACTAAACTTTTTATAGCATGTATTTAAAATAGCGAAAGAATAAGTTTCATCTTTTTTTACTTCCTCTTTGAGTGGATTGGCCTCAAAGCAGGCATTCAGAAGAAAAAGAAGGGGCCTGAGTAATTTACAAATTATTTTGCAATCCCTTCATATCCTAACATCATTCTTAAGAGCATTGGGATAGCTCCTGAAAAGGTTTATGAAAAAGAAGAATCCCATCTCAATGAAGAATATTTCTCATTTTTAAAAAAGCTTAAAAACTTTGAAATTAGCTTTAACTTAAATAGTATTTCCCATTTATCTCAGACCTTTTTTTAGGAAGCAAGCTTAATGCTGATAATTTTAAATTCCCTCTTTCCTGCAGGAAGGACTATGAAAAGCTAGAATTGAGTGTTTAAATTTCAACATGTTATTTGTAATAGTTGTTTAATAGATTTTCTGCTACTTTGCTGCTATGTTTTTCTCCAAGAGCTGAATAATTTAGTTTCCTATAAAGTATCATCAGTGTAGAACCTAATTCAATTCAAAGTTGTGTGTTTGGGAGACTATCTTACTATTTCACAACAGACTGACAACATTTCTATAGCCAAAAATAGCTAAATACCTCAATCAGTCTCAGAATGTCATTACTTTGGTGGCCACACAAGCCATTATTCACTAGTATGACTAGTTCTGTCTGGCAGTTTATATTTAACTCTCTTTATGTCTGTGGATTTTTTCCTTCAAAGTTTAATAAATGTATTTTCTTGGATTCCTGATAATGTGCTTCTGTTATCAAATACCAACATAAAGATTATGTAAACCAAACTGTATATTGTGAATTCTCAATGTAAGGAGAAATTAGCAACATTGGATCAAATACATCAGCATTGGTTATGGAGATTTTTATGTGCTGGGATGTAGAGAGGGAGACGTACCTCCCTACCCCTCTTTTTTTGAGGAGACAAGGCCCAACTCAGAAATATCCTGCTGGCTTGGCCCTCCCCTTAGGCTGTGATTCCCCATGTACAAAGGTTCATAGAGCCATGTGTCTGATGCATCATAGAAAATCAATGACACAGGTGTGGGATGAGGGAGAGAGATATGTGAGCATTATCTTTACATTTTCAGCTTGAGCATGTTGTCTGAAAAGAAGGAAAGCAGCTCTCCCTCTGCCATTCACCCATTGGCCCAAGTCAGTTTATTGGACTAGCTGCTTGTTATCATGGGAATCAGCTAATAGGTCAGGCTTGGGAGGAAGGCCGATTAGGTAGGTTGTGTAAGAGCTTGAGGGAACCATGAAGCATAAATTCCTACAGCAGGAAGCAAGCTGAAGGTGAGGTAGCTACTGAACCCTAGGCTTCTTAGTAGGCACTAGATTCTGAGTTGTAGGAATCGAGTGATGACATTGATAAACCTACTAAACAATGATGTATTGCTTCAGCAAGTTAAATGCAAAGTGCCACCACTTTTTATAATACTCAAGGGTGACATTAAAAAAAAAAAAAATGTCTTCACCTGCTGCCTTCTGCCCTGTGAGCAGCCATTACCTACAAGAACCATGGAGTGAAGCCTCAGGGCTTCTTTATATGAGATGCTTTAAGGTATGAGGAGTAAAGGGAAAAGAAAGCCTGACTACTTCCATGGATTGAAATGACACAATTCTATTTCAGAAGATTAATGAAGTATTGAAAACCATCCAATCAGTGATCATTGCTTCTGAACCATGCTTAATGGTGTTTATCATACTACTTTGGTAGCTCACCTAGCAAACGACGAGAATAGATTTGCCAGTATGTACTCTGGGGAATGCCTCTCTCTAAAATGTCCTTGAATCAATATTTTGTGGTTGAGTAAATTTAGAAAACACCTCATACTACACTCCCTTTTGGGAGAGTCATAGTGACATTTTAAAGCTTCTACAGTTTAAAGAAATCCATTTAAATTTAATATATTATTTTCTCATTAATAATGAGAAATAGTGAAAGAATACCCAGTATTATATTATTAACACTTGGGGAAAAACTAAGAAGAGTAACACAGTTGCCACAAAATAAAGTTATATTAAATTTCAGATGAACATGAATTTGAACAAAACCTTTTATATGATGTCATTAAATTTTTAGTCACAATAAAACTTCCTAAAAGTTAAATGCAAAGGAGCTGCATGATTAAAATAACCACAGATGATTTTCAATTCATCTCAGGTATGACACTTTTTATAAAGTATGGATGTCTTAGAGCATTCATTATCTTCTCTATGACAGTGACTTTTTATATGCTAGCTGAAATAAGATTTAACTTTAGGCCTGGTGTGGTGGCTAACGCCTGTAATCCCAGCACTCTGGGTGGCCAAGGTGGGCAGATCACTAGGTCAAGAGGTCAGGACCATCCTGGCCAACTTGGTGAAACCCCGTCTCTAATAAAAATACAAAAATTAGCTGGGCATGGTGGCAAGCAACTGTGGTCCCAGCTACTTGGGAGGCTGAGGCAGAAGAATCGCTTGAACCCAGGAGGCGGAAGTTGCAGTTAGCCGAGATTGGGCCACTGCACTCCAGCCTGGCTACAGAGCAAGACTCCATCTCAAAAAAAAAAAAAAAAAAAATTAACTTTTTCTTTTTTTCAGCCCAAAGAATGACTGACATATGGATTGTACCAATATTAACAAATTTTGAATCTTAATTAGGACACCCATTTTTATATGAAATCTGACCTTATAACACTAAGAAATGCTTATATCACTTCTCATAGGAGGAGCATATGTTGCTGTGAAATTACAGAATAATACTTATCTGTTATTATCTGAACAAAAATAACTTGCTCCTAATGCTGCTTAAGGTAGAAAAAAAAAAAAAAAAAAAAAAAAAACTTCACATATACTAGATTTTTTTCACAATAGTCCCAGGAAGCAGTTTTTGTAGAAATACATAGAAATCAATTTCCTGTTGATATCTTTTTAAAAAAGAATCTCTTCAGAATTGTTCTGTGGGCATTAAGAGATGTTAGCAGCATTTTCAACAAGCATAAAATAATTTGTGAAGAAACTGTACTCGCTTGGGCTTTGACAATGGTACTGTAGTCAAAAATTCAAATTATAAAGATTTTTATTATTACCTTTCCTTTAATGGTACTGTATAATAAAAATAACTTGCATAGGATTCTGACTTTATAAAGAACTTTCAAATGTCTTATTTCATTTAAACTTAAGAATTATCTGTCTTGTAGGCTTGTCAGATATTATTCTTAAGTCTTATTGGGGAAAAAAACAAGGCTCATAAAACCTAAGAGAATTTCCCAAAATTAATAAACTAGTGAGTAATGAAGCCAGGATGAAAACGCAAGTTGACTAGTCCAGAGTTCCCAAACAATGCAACTTATAACATTACTGGATGGGGGAAAAGCTTTGGATCCTATTCACAGTGTGAAGAAAAGGGAAAGTTAATTGTTTTGTAATAACTATTATTCAAAAATAATCTTGAATAATCTTTGATAATAATAATTCTTTGAACACTTTGGTAGAATTCAAAGAATCACCTGCCAAAGATGAAAGATTCTTCTCTGATAAACATAACCAGGTAGTAAATGTCTAACAACCAGTTCTGGAGAGGAGGGTCTATGTTGAGAAGTGCTGACTGTATAATTGCTGAGAAATGCTGAGTGTATGATGGAATACATTGT